CTGCAACTCGGGTGTAACTGCAAAAGAACATCCTGGACAAAAGAATGCAATCGTGCCATTGGTAAATTCCTTTAAAAGGTAGGTTGCTTATTACAGAGTTTGGTAGTTATGTTGTTTTATTTGACTGAATAAATCTTCAAACAAGGATGTTTGTTCAGTCTATTTACAGCTTTGGCCTCAGTTTTCTTTTGTGCATTGGACTGAGCCAAGACATCCTGTTATGTAGCTCCAATGGTAGGCAGTTTTCCTTTCATTTAACAAAATATACTTGTCATTACATTGCCCAATATTGCACTGACTGATAGTCATGCTTTTCAGTGGTTTTAAGTGGCACATCTACATAAAAACCTTCTGTTGGCATCCTCAACCAGCTCATCATTGTTCAAWTACTATAACCCTCAACCATTGCTCGTACTTTATTCATCATGGTAGTAAAAATGTTCAGCTTACAGCTTAAATACACTTATTTCACTTCTCATTCTAAAATAGCCATAATACCCCAGATTTCTTCTCCAACATCATGATGTGTTTATTTTGCATTTGGAAAGTTGTTAAAAATCAACTATCAATGTATGATCTTCCAAACCTGCCAAATTAGCTTGAACAAGATGAAATAGTTTTGCTCCATTTCCAGTCCAGTATGTTCCTAGTGTTCATTACATTACATTACATATCATTTAGCTGATGCTCATTCCAAAGAGATTTACAGTAAGTGCATTCAACCAAATCACTCAACGCAACGTTGTGGCATGCAGAGTATTCAGKAAAAAGTTGCCATTACACCTGCACAAGAGAATTTCTAATATAGGGGGATTGTCCACTCTCACAATTTCCTGGTTGTGGTGGGGGGGCGCTTGCAAGGTTGCACAGAATGTGTAGCCCCAAAAGGAAAAACATTCATGGAGAAAAGAAAAGAACCCTTACAACTCTGTCAGTTTGCTTGATATGACCTTTCTGTTCGTTTTAGTRACACGAGCTTCGCCATTTTGGCTTCACCAGAGCCTGCTTTTTGTGTCATAAAATGATTTACTATTATTAATTATTAGAMGCTTCTACTTTAGATGTACATTTAGCTGTCAATCACGATGATCCTTCCTTTTCTCCTTTAGATGGCTATTTKACTTCTTTTGCAATGTGTCACAAATCCTTGATCAACCAATCAGAATGTATTTACATCGAGACCCTCGGGACCCTCTCTACAGAGGCCTCCATGTTTTTTTACATTAGTCCAGACTGGACAAACTAAACACCTTTTGAGTTTTTATGACAATTAAAGGCTACCACAGGTTCACCAAACAGCTGCATCAATATCTATACATGTATGTGTATAGATGTGTGGAAGTGTTTACTTCCAGTTCTAGTTCTACACCTTTGTACAGCGTGTCTGACAACAGTCAACACTAAATCATTTTTTAACGAGGAATAAACCTTCCTCTTGCCTGAACTGTCTGTAGCTGAATAGGTGAGGCCTACGCTTCTGTATTTTAATGAAAGTCATAAAAGTGGTACATGGAGAGCCTTATATTTTCTGAGGCTGTACATGGTACACAAGTTTGAGAACCACTGCTCTCAGCCATCTGAGGTTTTATCAAGTGCCATTTTTTTCATTTACTGTAAACTGTCTTATTCTAGGAAACCACATGATCACTAGACCAGAAGTGAAAGTGTTTTGAACAGCAGAATAAAAGGAGGGTGTTTCCCGGCAGAAGTCTGCATTGGCACATGCAGGGAGGTGTGATGTTTGATCAACAACAACAGGACACCTACGAATCCTGGAAGAAGGACTGCAGAAGATCTCTACAAAGGTTGGTTCTTATAATGTTTTCTCAGTTATTTTGTCAGAGGACAACTGTTATTATTTGGACAAGTGACTTGCATTGTTTCCTGATACTGCTGATACAAACTTGGCCCGATGCAACGTGAGGCTTCCAGCAGGAAATGTTAATCTGTTTGACAGATGAGTGGATGTTATATACGTCCTACAATATTACACCACCTGTTAAAGGGTGTTTCTTTCGAACTGTCAAACTACAGTGCAGTCAACCATTATTAAGCCCTTGACTATGGAGATCTGAATTGCCACGTTTCGCTCCCAAAAAGCACCTAACTCCTGTGCATGAACAACAAATATCGTACTCGTCCTTGATAGATGTGTCACGTTATTAATTTCTGAAGCTCTACTGTTGAATCTTCCAAAATACCTCACATCTCTTTTTCTCTACATTATGGAATCTGTTAACTACTGGAACTGGAACAAAAGCAAAATAAATTACATTTATCGTTTTTTCCAATTTATTTTGACCCTCACATTTTTACCCAGTTAAAGTGCAATGTAATAAAGTTAATTATTATATTACTTTACTATCAACTGGTTCAGCATTAAAGGGACCACACCTAGCACTTGTTATACAACTCTGTGTTGTTGAATGATGAATTAATTAACCTTGTGCCTTGTACCATGAAAATGCACTGTCACAGCGGTGAATTGCACCCATTGGCAGTTTTTATTTTACTTGTAGCTTTGACATTCAAACCACGATTGGCTTAAAAAATATGATGCATTGTAATAGATTTTCAGTAAAATGAACTCCACCAAAAACCATCTATGATATATCATATGTAAAATAATTTTACTCTTTTTGCTGATAATAATGCAAATTCATGAAGCCGATCAATGAATTAAGGACTTAAACTTGCAATGTATTATTTTGCTTTGTTGTATTGTGCAAGATAGGACTCATGTTCCAGGGCCTCTGCCTATCAGACACTCTCCTCAGAGTTCTGTTCTTTGTTTTTACCTGGCCTTTAACTAAACATGCAGTATAAACTTGTTTCCGATAACTTTTAGAGAGAAGCAGATTTAATAATCTGGACCGAGTGAGACATGACTGACTCTGTACCCAGCATTTTTAACTCGGAGGACGAAGAGGTAAACAGCTTGTTTTTCTAGTTACAATTTTCCCATTAGCAATTGTGAACGGGATTATGGGTCGATTAGTCATACTTTTTTCTCAAATATCAAGGAGTTTGTTGACGCCATTGATATGTGCCTTAGTGAAGAAGAGGATCCATCAACAAGACAGTTTAACTGTAAGTGTACCAGTCCAGTGACTAAGTACATGGTCTGATCTGGAGATACTGACAGGTATTTCTTTCTCTTCTCTTATGATAGATGTTCCTCCACCAGAAGTAACACTCCTTTCAGGCACGAGGACTGTTTCTCACTGTCCCACTGACTCCTCGGTGAGGTGTAATCCTCAAATAGATCCCTCCAGTGACACACTCAGAGGCAGTGTGATCATGGAAGACTCCAGCAGAGTAGATGTTAAGGGACAGAATCCTGGGACTGAATATATTTTCAGCATCACAAGGTCAGCAGAAAATGGAAATCAAAGCAAACCAGCATCTGCTTCCATCTTTACAGGTGAATATGAAAAGAAAAAAAAGAAAAACTATTGAATAATCTTTTGGCTCAAGACCTATACACACGAGTAAAAAATTCTTACAGCAAAGTACACTCTCAATGTATGTTATAATTGTTATATTCAGACCAAAGATGTAGTTAACTGCTTTGCTACAAAATGACAAGTGAAACCATTACATCTTTCCAACAGAGCCTGCCCCTCCTTCGTGGATAACAGTCTCTAATGTCAGCAGCCAGTCTCTGTCTCTGCAGTGGGACACTTCTGCTGGTGAAGTGGAAAGCTACCTTGTGACCTGCTGCAGTGAGGGAAAACTTGTGAAAGAGCTGATAACAGACASTAACAACCTGACCATCAGCGACCTGGAGCCTGGGGTGTGTTACTCCTTCAGTGTGTCTGCACAGCTGGAGAATGGAAGAAGAAGCAAGCCAATTGGAACATCTGCCCAGATGAGTAAGTTAAAGAAAATAGTATTTGCAATAAAAACTGTGAAGTATTTAATCTTAAAACAAGAAATTCACTCAAAGAGATGCTAAACCCACGCATGATGCCGTCTTAAATGTTAAATATGTGCAACATTTGCTCAACTAATTGATTAAATTATAACTTTACAGCATGCCAGTATAAATTTAAACTTTAAGACCCACCATAATATATTTATAATTCTGGTTATGTGTGTGATGTAGCTATTGATATCAACACCATAGTAGAACCTATTCAAGTATGTAGCTTTTGACTGATCGCAATAATAAATACAGATCTATGCCTCTACTCTTAAGTTAAAATGAATGCACCAAAGGTCAATGAAAGCCAACTCCTCACAAAAACACATTCATTAGTTGCATATTAATGCCATCCAGTGGCCAGAGAGCCCATCAACAAATCAACGCATTGGCATTTTGCATGTGTCTGACCGCGGAGTTAGTAATACAACACCCCACCAGATAAGTAACAGTAGGTTTCAGATATGAACTACTGAGGATTTCCGAAGACTTGGGTCCACACTTCCTCCAGAGTTTGCCTTTCACGTATAATCAAGGCAGCAGGAGATTCTCTAGTTTGACTCATTCACAACATCACAAAAACCTCCGGAGCATTCAGGTGAAGGGTGGTGCAGCCCAGGAAATACTATCAAAGTTACTGATTTATGGTCTAACTACAGAGCACACTAATATGAAATGATCAAACAGCACCAATGACATATGGCCTAAATATGTTTGTATGTTTATAGGATGCTTTCACTTAATTACCTTTGCCGAGGAGGGTATGTTTTCATCTGCTTTTCTTTGTTGTTAGTTTGCAGGATTACACAAAAAATAATGGATAAATTACAACAAAACTGAAACTGGTGGAAGGATGCTGTGTGGGTCAGGGAAGAGATCATTACATTTTGGTGGCTCTGGATCAGAGGGGCAGATCCAGGATTTCTTTTCAGAGTCTTTAACATTGCACTATAAGGAATTAATCAATGGATCTTAATGGAGTAGATCTAACATATTTAGAGCACTGATATCTTTAAATGTGTGCGATTCTTATTGGGCCTAAGTGGAAATATGCGCTTGATACTGAAAGACATTATGGTTTGTTTGTCTGTTAGCAGCAATACACAAACACTACTGGTCAGATTAGCAGGCAACTTAGTGGAAGAATGTGGTATGGATCAGGGAGGAACCCATTAAATTTAGGTGCAGGTATACGGCATCAGGGGAAGTTTTCACTCTCTTTAACGTGGTGAGATAGAGCTCTGATCTTGGTGGATCTATACCTGTTTCATAATAATTGCTTTCATGCCCACAGAGAGACAACTGCAGAGCTTGTTGGAGGATCTGGGCTTGGAGCAGCACTACACAAAGAAGCTATCACTGAGTGAAATACTTCAGATTGACCTGAAGGCAATCACTGATGAAACTGTCAAGTGCAACTCAGATCTTCCATGGTACTTCTTCAAGAAACTAATGATGGTTAATGTGACAGCGAGAACTATACAATCAGAATGTGAATCATCCAATGAAGGAGCAACAGAAATGACTGAATTTGACTTTGACAATCAGAGTGACATTCCAGACTCAGGTGAAATGGTAAACCCCCTTGACGTAATCACTGCTCTCTTCCTGTGTTCTGATGCTTTTGTGCAACAGGAAATGGCCCTCAAAATGTCCATGTGTCAGTTTTCTGTGCCTCTCCTGCTTCCAGATTGTGACACAAAGCAGTGCAAACTCATGCTTTGGGCCATGAGAGACATTGTTAAAACCTACAGACCTCAGTCACTTTTACAATCCAAAGGCTTTACTGAAGAAAGAATTGTTCTCTCTGAACTTCCAATGATATCTTTTGTGAGACTGGGGGAATGTTCCATGTCCAAGTCAGAGATTCTCAATAAGCTTTTGAGCAATTCTGAAGAGTACCATGACTATTTTACTCACCATGATATGAAGTGTGGTAACACCCCAAGAAGAATATCCAATGGACTGACTGAAATTACTTGGTACCTTCCTTGTGGCAAAAAAAACATTGATATATTCAGTGAGCCAGTAGCTGTAGCTAACCTTCGTGGGGACATTGCTTCATTTGAAACTCAGTTTTCTTTCTTGTGTCAGACATCTGCAGCAGTGTTTGTGTTCTTTGACAATTTGGACCCTGAGTGCAAGCTGCTAACCAACCTCCACCACAAGGCGAAGATGTTTTTGGTCGGTAACCAACAAAGCAAATGCTTTAGGATGGATGCTCTAAAAACAGTAGCAACAAAGCTGGGCTTGACTAAAAACATCATTACAAAGACCAAGCAGAAAAATTATGCAGACTTTGTCAACGATCTGCGGACAATGGTCAACAGTGTTATTGAGAACACAAAGAAGAAGATGTGCATTGAGAAGATGGCTGACATTGCCCATGAATTGGGAATCTTGGTTGATGAAGACTGTCCAGAGTTTCAGACTGCCAAGGAAAATGCAGATGCCRTAACATCAAAAATTCAGAACACCCTTGAATACAAAACCAATCAGCTTCCCTTGCATGGCGAAATATGGAAGGAATTGACAATTTTAGAGAAGGAAGAATTTCGGCTTAAAAATCWTGGAYCTGAAGACATAGAAATATACAAAGGAGGGCTTCAGAAAAAGAAAGAAGAACTTCGGGAGAAACAGAGCTCTAAAAACATATCAGATGCCATGACAYGCTTCATCAATGCGATATCAAGTCCAGGCATTGAGAGACGTTATTTCCTGAAATGGATGCGAATGAACCTTGATAACCTGTCTCRAGAAAAACTGTCTGGCCTCAGGAAGGAGTACAAAGAAAAGTGCAAAGATGCTGAGAACAAAGAGGCCATCAAAGTCATTGATAAAGAGCTCTCCAACAGCTCACTGGGAACTGAACACTTCTTCCGTGAAATGGGTCAGATTTATGAAGCTTCACTTTCCCTTCCAGAGCACGATCTGTCGCGTAAACAACTACAGCATCTGCCCAAAATCTGTGCAGGATTGTTGCTTGATGGATTTCCCCTTGAGCTTGTAGATGGAGATGCATCCAACATACCTCTCACATGGGTGAGTGATGTTCTCTCTCAGCTCAATGAACTGGTGTCTCCAAAGAACAAGATACTAGTGGTCACGGTTCTTGGAGTTCAGAGCACAGGAAAGTCCACTCTTCTTAACACTATGTTTGGAGTGCAGTTTGCAGTCAGCAGTGGTCGATGCACCCGAGGTGCTTTTATGTTGCTCATCAGAATCAGTGAAGATGTCAGAGAAGTCCTCAACTGTGACTTCATGGTTATCATTGACACTRAGGGCTTAAAGTCACCAGAGCTTGCACAACTGGATGATAGCCATGAGCATGACAATGAGTTGGCAACACTTGTTGTGGGGCTGAGTGATATCACCATTATCAATATTGCAATG